ATTGGTTTGTGTTGTTTTTCATTCTCAATTCAAAAAAAAAAAAAACAAAAACAAAAAAACAAAAAAACAAAAAAAAACAAAAAAAAGAAAAAAAAAGAAAAAAATAATTATAAGAGTTAATTGGATGAGGAATTGAGTTACCATTCCATTTCTTTACAACATTGGGGACAATGTTGAGTTTGAGTTTGGGGGTGTGGTCTTTATTTCTCAAATTTTTGTTATTTTTATTTCTTTTTGGGTTCAATTGAAAGTGATTGTATGCTAAAAAGAGGAGTTGGTGAAATTTTTTCTTTTCTTTTCTTGGAAATCATGTGAGATCCATGAGTTGTGATACATGCCTAGGGTGATTTGAGCCTAAAAATTCTAATCTCATCCACCTATTTACCCTAGCCATACATTACAACCCTCAAAAGTCCTTTTCACCTTCAATGACAAGTGAACCTTTATTAGTGGAGAGTGACACGAAAAATGGGCCTATGGTAGTTCTTATTAAGATATCACTCATAGTCTCATTGGCACATAGGTCTATCCGGATTTATTTGGTTGATTGAGATTGATTGTGCACACACTTACACTTTAAGAGTCTTGAGTGGAGTGAAATTGATGCTTGATGTTGAAATTCTAGATAATCTCAGTGTTTACATTTCTTTTGAGCTTAGAGCATTATGTGGCTTTGGAGATACATGCACAGTTGTTGACCCGATACAAAACTCACACTTTTTTTTGTTTGTGTCTTAGTACTTGATTTGTGTTTTCTTTTTCTTTCTTTTCTTTTACTTAAGGACAAGCAAATGTTTGAGTTTGGGGGTATTTGATGATGGGTATTTTTACCAACAAATCAAGTACTTTTAAGCTTGAATATTTGTAAGTTTTCAAGCATTTTTGTTAGTTTAATATATTTTGTGTGCTTTTTATAGGAATTATAAATAAATGCGAACTTGGATGATTTTGCATGAAGAAAAGAAGAATATTTCCCAACTTGTGAATCAATGACAAGAGGAGGCGAAAGAGGATTTTAAAGCACAAAAGAGGTGGCTTTGGATTGCAAGAAAGTGTGCTCCAGCCCACCTATAGCAGGAATGGGTGAAATCGAATAAACCTGTGTGCAAAAAAACAGCGAGAGACGCGATATGTCGCCTCTTGTAGGGGATATGTCGCCTGCCTTAGTCTAGTACGCAAATAACAGAACGACAGGCGATATGTCGCCTGTAAATAGGCGATATATCGCCTAAAGAAGCCCACAGGCCTACCCACGCGCTGCAGCGCGCCCAATGGGCGCTGTAGCGCGCCTAAAGGGCCTAGAATTAGCCCCAATGGGCACTGCAGCGCGCCCAATGGTGCTGCAGCGCGCCTCAGCCCACGACAGTGAGCTCCTTCTTCCAAAAACGCGCTGCAGCGCGTTTTCACGCAGGCTGCAACGCGCGTATGAAACCCTAGCTCCAAAATGTTGTAGTATAAAAGGAAAGAGTTACCATTTGAGAAAGGGAGCCCCGGAAATCTGAAGAAAACATCAAAAGGAGGCCGAAATCCTTCATCTTGGAGGTCCTTGGAAGCTCTTCAATGGATATTGGGTTTTATCTTCTTTCATCTATTTTTCCATGTTGAGCTAGACATTAAATCTAGGACTTGATGTAGTTTTATTTGAACTATGTTTTGAATATTTTGTTGATTGTTAATTTAATTTCATTTTCAATTCATTTATGTTTTTCTATGCTTAATGCTTTTAATTTATTTGGCCAATGAGTTAGATGATTTTTAAATTGCGAATTTGATGCTCGAGAGAGATTGAGTTCTTTATCTAGATTTGAGAAACATAGTCTAGGTTGTTGTGAGACCGAGAGGAGATCAACGGTTAGATAATCAAATTAGGATTTAGGTTGTTGTGAGGCTGAGAGGCGATCAATATTCCTATTTTCTAATTCTAAAGGCGAAGCTTAATTTGTGTTTAAATATTCATTTCGAATAGGGATATTGTTTTGGGTATTTAAATACAATTTCTTGTGAGGCACTCGAGAGAGGTTGCGAGATGACATTAGAGCCTTGATTAATGAATTGAACGGAATTGATTAGCGATTACATAATAGGATGAACATAGGAATAATAAAGCGAAATCAAGTCCCTAGACCATTTGTGTATAGATACTTTATTTTTATTTTCTTATATTTATTTTGTTTTAGTTCTGAATCATCATCTTATTAGGTTGCCTAGATAAAGTTAAGTTACAATAACCGCAGTACTTAACGGTAATTCTAAACCCAATCCCTGTGGAGACGATACTCACTCACCTTATACTCAAAACTTGACACCGTACGCTTGCGGAAATTTATTATACACAAAAAAATTTTGCATCATGGTGTCCACTCAAAACGCCTACTTCCTTTCAAAGCATCGAAGAATGGGACGCACTTGTCTGTTGCTTTTGATATAAATCTGTTTAAGGTGGCGACGCATCCTGTTAACCTCTGCACCTCTTTTGGTTTAGTCGGGGATCGCATATCCTACAAGGCTTTAATCTTTTTAAGATTAACTTCTATCCCTCGGTTGCTGACCATTAAACCAAGGAACTTCCCTGACCCAACTCCAAAGGTGCATTTTTGGGGATTTAGTTTCATGTGGTATTTTCTTAATACACCAAACATTTCACCCAGGTGGTCGACGTGTTGGTTGGCCCTAGCACTTTTCACAAGCATATCGTCAACGTAGACCTCCATTGATTTGCCGAGCTGTCGAGCAAACATCTTATTCATGAGCCTTTGGTAGGTAGCCCCCGCATTCTTTAAGCCAAAAGGCATTACGTTGTAGCAGTAAAGGCCCATGTCGGTTATGAAGGATGTATGCTCCTTGTCGGCTGGATGCATGGGGATCTGGTTGTACCCGGAGTAGGCGTCCATAAAACTCAGCATTTTATGTCCTGCTGTGGCGTCGACCATCTCGTCTATTCGAGGGAGTGGAAAGCCATCCTTCGGGCACGCTTTATTGAGATCACTGAAGTCGACGCATGTTCTCCAGCTTCTGTTAGGCTTTACCACCAGAACAGGGTTCGAGACCCAACGCGGGTAATGGGCCTCCCTTATGAACCCGTTGTTGATCAACTTGTCGACCTCCTCTTTCAGCGCCTCATACCTCTCTGGGTTCATTAGTCGACGCTTTTGGTGTTTAGGAGGATATGAGGGGTCAACGTTCAAGGAGTGACATATAACCTCGGCGTCGATCCCTTCCATGTCAGCATGGTTCCAAGCGAAGATATCTAAGTTCTTTTTGAGGAAGTCTTCGATCTTAATCTTAAGTGATGGGGCTATGTTTGAGCCCATTTTTAGTACTTTGGTTGGCTCGCCCTCATCAACTTGGATCTCCACCAATTGCTCGATGGGTTGGGACCATGTGACCTCCTCTTGAACCCTGGGATCTATGTCTTCGGCGGCGTTTTGATAGACCATCCTGGCCTCCTACCGCCTTGGCTAGTCGTACCCGCGCAGGACATCAGAGTATGTGACCCTAGCTTCGTACTGGTTGCTCTTCATCTCACCTATGCCGCTTGGGGTAGGGAACTTGACCTTCTGGTGGTAGACGGAGGTTATTGCCCTCAGTGCCTGAAGGGTCGGTCTCCCGATTACAGCATTGTACTGAAAGCCTCCCTTTATTACCACAAAGTTGGCCATTGTCGTGGTCTGTCGGGGTTTTTCTCCGGTGGTTATGGGCAACCGGATAGTCCCCTGAGGGATGACGGAGTCCCCGATGAAACCGTATAATGGCCTGGAGGTCTTCTCCAACTGCTCCTTTCGGATCCCCATCTTTTCCAAGCAGTCGGAGTACAGGAGGTCCACCGAGCTCCCATTGTCTACCAAGATTCGGCATACAGTGTGGTTCCCAATCACGGCTTCCACTACTAATGTGTCGTTATGGGGGAAGTGAACTCCGCTGGCGTCATCCTCATTAAACGCCACGTCGGTACTGCTATATCTTGGGGTTTTTGTAGTGGAGACACTCCAGAATCTTTCCTGGTAAACCCCTCTAGCCTCATGGGCGTAGTCTTTCTGGGATCTCCTTGAGTCTCCTCCTATATAGGGGCCACCGAGGACAGTTCGTATGACGCTGACAAGTTCTCGGTCTTCTAGACGCTAGTTCTCTTCTCGGTGTCGACCGTCATTCTGCCCACCGTTGCCATCATTTCGAGGTCTCCGTTCAGCTTTGAACTCCTGTAGCCTTCCCTCGCGGATTACTCTCTCGATTTCATCCTTGAGGTCGGCGCAATCATTGGTGTGGTGGCCGACATCGCCGTGGAACCTGCAGAATTTCTTCTGGTTCCTTCGGTTGGGATTTGTCCTTATCGGCTCTGGGTGGCGCAGCAGATTTCCGCGGCCGACCTGATTGAAGACCTCATCGACTCCTACTGTCAGTTCATGGTCAGAATCGTACCTTTGAAATAGCCGAGGCTTACGGTTCTCCTCTTGCCTGAGCACTCGACGTCGCAGCTGGTTGCTTGTCTCCGCTTCCTCCACCTCGACGCTTCTTCCCATCCTGCTTTGCTGGTGTCGACCCTTATTCGGTCCCTTTGGTCTTATTGGACCTGTGCTCGGGGTCGTTTGCGTCTGTCTCTTCGGCGTTGATGTATCCTTGCGCTTGCGCAAGAAATTCCTTGTAGCTGGACGGGGGCTTTCGGTTCAGCTCTCTCTTGAAGGGGCCCCCATAAAGGCCTCTCTGTCAGTTATATCCATCGTGGCAGCAACAGCTTCCTCATACCTTGCAAGCCATTCTCTCAATGACTCGTTCAGCTTTTGGTATATCGTTGTCAGGTTCTGCTTCAGTGGGACATATTTTTTAACCCCTATGAATTGGAGGGAAAATGCTTCCTTCAACTCATCCCAGCTTGAGATAGAATTTGGCCTCAGCGTCCGAAACCATCTTCGGGCAGAGTCCGTTAAATGGTTCCGGAAGGCTCGGCACATAATTTCCTCGGCATACCCATGTAAGAGCGTGCCCCGTGTACATTTCTAAATGATCGTCGGGATCCTCTCGACCATCATATGGTGGGATCGACGGTGACCTGTATTTGTCAGGGAGAGGTGGCGCCATTATCTCTTCGGTAAATGGGTGGTCATGTGTGTGGCTAGGTGTGATGTCGATGTTTACCACCTCAGCCAGTCGCCCTATGTTCTTTTTCAGGCCTGCTACGTCCCTTGTGAGTTTTTGCTCTAGGTTGGCCATGCGCTCCATGATGGCGTGTGCCTCCTCTGTTGAGATGGCCAAGCCAGCTACTCTCGATGCCTCTGCCCTTTGACCGTTGGGTCTGCCTCTTGCCTGCCCGTCCGCCTGTACTGACCCTGAGTCTCCCGGTGGGTTTCTTCCTGCGTTCTAGGGCAGTACCTCGGGGTTTCGCCGGCCTCTTGGTATCTGGTCCTCAGGAGCCCGGAGTCCGGAGGCCCTTAAACGGCCGCCGGAGGATTGGGAAGGTCGGGGCCTAGGCTGGCCCCTTTGATTATCACTATCCCTGATTTCTTCTAAGATATGTGGGCGGTCACCAGGGTTGGGGTTTTCAGCCATGGCAGGTCCCAGCGGCCTCGGGGTGTCTTCTAAAGGTGGCATAGAGTTTCTTCCATCCAAGCGTTCGACCACGGTCATTAGTCCACGTACCAGATCGGTTAGAGTGGCTAGTTGGGCCTGCATTTGCATAGGATCTGGCCGCGGCACGTCTGGGGACGGGACCTCGTTTCTGACCGGGGGTGGAACCTCCTCCACCCCGTCATTCACCGGATGAGTGGAGGTCTCGTCCATCTGGCTGCCTTGGTTGTTGGCCTCAATTCTTCTTCTTGGAGGCACGCTTGCTGACTATGTTGTTGTTGTTGGGGGTCCAACGCGTTCGTTCCCCAGTGGAGTTGCTAATTGTTGACGGTAAATTTTCGTCAACAAAAACAGGCCGGTTTACCTCTAGGTTTCTCGTTGGATTACCGGCTCAAATATACGTTATATGTAGGAGTTTTGTACCGCAGGTGTTTAATGTTTTTAGAGGGATGAGCAATTTGGGAAAATAATGCCTTAAAGTAAAGGAACACAAGAGATTTTATAGTAGTTCACTCTTATAAAATGAAGAGCTACATCCACTGTGGTTTTTTATTCCTTTTGAGATTGTTACAATTTACAAATTGCTCTCTCGTTCTTTTCTCTCAGGAAAGATCAACCTCCCTTCCGTATGAGGTTTCTCTCCTTTTATAGCCGAGCTTCCTTCGTCGGGGGAGTTTTCTCCTGTAGGCTAAAAAAGCACTCAAGTGGTCTGCCTTTCTAGGCCCAGCCCGAAGCCCACTAATCACTTTTTGCGCACTGTTCACTTAGCCAATTAGTCTCCCATTACGGCTCTGTGCACAGCTGTAACCCTTTTCTGTCCCCCGTAGGGGCGGTTTAAGGGTTTACATTTAATGCCTGTACTGCAGACATCTCTCATTACTGTACGCAACTTGCCACGTCAGGCTTTCTCCCAAGGAGCATTCCCCTCGTCGCCAGTGTTGTTTAGCCCAATCGTTCTTCTTGGCGGTGGATTTTATGACGAGGGATTTCTATGTTGTAAGGTCGACGGTACGACCTGTCGACGCCAGATGAAATCGACGCCCTAAGTTGGGCTTCTTACTCGGGCTCTTAACGACGGAATGGAAGGAAGTCCCAGACGTCGAGGGTTGTTGCTTTGCGAAGAGAGGTTAAGGCCACGTGTCATATTGTCCTCTCTCCACGTGTCCTCCACATTTTCCCCCATAACAGGATAGATCTTAAGTTTGTATCATTGAGTGACATAAATGTAGATAACAACATTTGAGTGATATTTCTGAATTTTTTTAAACAATATCTTATTAATAGGGTACAATTTTTAAACAATTAGGGTCCGTTTAGTTCGTTGATTTGAGTTTTTAATTCAATTTGAGATGTGACTTTATGTGAGAGTTTTTTACTGTAGAAAAAAATTAGATGCGATTATTTTTTAAAGCTTTTTACTATAACAAAATTCAAATTTTAAATTCGAATCGGTAAAATGAACGAGACCTTAGATATTAAATTGTGATTCTTATTCTCATATGAAATGAGGCTTAAAAATTATATATTCTACTGGTAAGGTTTTTTTATTTTTTATTTTATTTTATTTTATTTTTTTTCATACTTACCCGATATTTTATTTCTTACTCTTTTTTATTTTTTTTTTCTAAGTTAATTATATCAAGGTGAGCTGTATTGCTGTTTGAGTCAGTCCATTGTCGCTGCATCACAGGGCAACTGCAAATTGGTATACTGAAAGTCTGAAAGGTGCCGTAAAGTACAATGGCAACAACGAATGGAGTCACAACATCATTATGTGCTAGGTCCTCTTGGTGTCTTCTATTTTTGTTGAAAAGATTTTATTTAATTTTCTTTTTATAAAATACTGTTAGCTTGCGCCCATTGAAACTCATGCTCATCCAACCCTATTTCATATAATATGATTGGCTTCCTGTTCTTCTATTTTCGGAATAATTTCATAAATATCTCTTCAACTGTGTATCTATAGTTCAACAAGCTCAACAAACTTTGGAAAAAGGTTCATTTTACTCGCTAAACTATCTACTGTAATTTCAGAGCAAAAAATTATATACCGTAATTGTACAACATCTCAAATTTTGAAATGTTTATTTTACTCCCTGAACTAGGTAAAGTGGTTCAAAACAACTCCTGAAATAAATTTAATTTTATAAATACCGTCAAACTAGTAATTATGTATTAACTTGTTCTTGTTCTTTTATGAAACCAAACAGCACATTGACACAACATTAATAGTTTGAGGTTTTTATAGTTAGGGAAGCTTTTTTTTTTTTTTTTTTTTTTTTTTAAAACTATAAGTAGTTCATAGCATCATTTTGTTAGTATTATAAAGAAAACAGTTTTGAACTATGATATACAATATATAAAACGATGAACCCATTTAAAATTCGAGTTTGAGTTGGGATAAGGGGCATGTGTGTAAGTATCCCTATCAAGTTTGCAAGTCAACGGTGTGGGGATGAGATTGTTTTTCTTGAAGAAGTGAATTGGTGAGAAGACCACCCTACCACAAATACTGCCATCCTTAGATAAATAATTCAAAGACTATCTACGAAATTAAACTTTTGTTTTAGTGAAGAATTAGTATTTGATTGGTTTTGCTGATAATGGGTGATATTTGTTCTCAGTGATGAGCAAAACAGCTCAACTCAGCCACTAGGGATTTTCTTTTTTAACATCCTGCTGGTTATATGTTATCCGCATATGCGCACAATTATGATCACACAACCATCATCAAGGACAGTGTTTCAACAGTTACAATTAAGGGTGGTTCATCTTTACCTTTTATTAATCGTGTCAGAAAACATCAACTTAAACACGACTAGTTTATTAAACGTATCAAAAATATTAATCTAAACACAACTCATTTATTAATCGTGTTAATTGTATCAACCTGTATAACATAGTTAAATTAATATATTGAATAAATAATTAATATAATAATGACTTATTTAACACGGTCAATACATATTTAACATATTTATTGGTCAATTTATCTTTTTCTTTAAGAAAAATAAATGAATTTTACCTACAAATATTAAAATTCATATTATTTATATTTAATATTTCATATAAACTTTCATGTCAATTTGTATCACTTCGTATTAGAAGGTCAACCCTAGCCCAACTCATTAATTGTGTTAATCGTATCAATCCGATTATGACCCAAATCCATTTAGGGGGCGTTTGGTATGCAGGAATCAGTAGGAATCATATTCCCAGAAAAGTGATGGAGGGGAATATGATTCCTAAGAATAATACATTACTGTGTTTAGTTCAACACATGAATCTTTTTTAAATTCCCAAGAATATTACATTATTGTGTTTTGTTGTTCGCATGGAAGAAGATCCATAATAATAATAATAATAATAATAATAATATTATTATTATTATTATTAATAAAAATAATAAAAATAATAAAAATAAAAATAAAAATAACAAAAAAAATTTTAAAAAAATAAAAAAGTGAAACGTAGGGTGAATAAATTGTTATAGAGACAAATTAAGGAGATTCGCAGTAAGACCGGAGAACCCTAGTGAAGTTTCTTCCCACACGTCTAGTCCTCCCTCGACCCCAGCCTCATTAGCAGTTGCAAATCCGTTCGCAATGGCTCAAAACGAGGAGGTCTAGCAGAAGATGTTGAACGATTATCTCCACCCTACGTATACGGCCACACCATCATGCATAATGTTTCCCCCAAATATGCCGAATTTGGTAACAATAATAATAATAATAATAATAATAATAATAATAATAATAATAATAATAATAATAATAATAATAATAAGAGATTCCCATGATTTTAAGATTTCTGGGAATTTGAATAACACCATGTTGGGTGGTATTCAAATTACCTTAAAATGAGAGAAAGTGAATCCCATGGTAATCACTTTCCTGAGAATCTAAAAATTATAATTCTTGTACCAAACATGGTAATATTGCAGATTCTCATTCTCATCCTTAAGATTACTGCATACCAAACGCGTAAACCTAAAGCCACTAACTTCGTACGAGTTTCGAGTCGTGTCATCGTGTCGCTATCCGGATTGCTAGCTCTAGTTACAACCACCACTTATGCAGAGGATACAAACACCATTCAAGTTTCAGCAAATCTTATGCTCGTATATAAAAACCACTTACATCCGAAAAGAGACAAACATGTAGTATGGTGCCAAACTTTACAAAGCATATGCATTAGAAACCTTTGTTGAGAAATTTTAGTGTCGTGTGATAATAAATAAGCGTTTTTTTTTTTTTTTTTTTTTTTTTCCCTTTGAAATAGGTATTTTGAAATAAATAAGCGTTTTGTGATAGTGATTAATGTTATTTTTATGTATAAAAAAATTATGAGATAAATGTTATGCTAAATCAATGGTGATGCAAAATACTAGTATGAGATAAATGTTATACTAAATCAATGGGGATGCGTCAACTAGAATGGGTGTTTGGTATTGGTTGTGGTCAATAGTGAGTTGTCCGTTATCGCTGCCACATAAGTCAACTATAAATGGTCATACTGAAACGCGCCAGAACCAATTGAACTAAAACATGGAATCGTAAGTTCATAAGGACTTTATAATGCTGGGACTGTTGGTCTTTTGAAATATCAAATTTCTTTCCTTTCGTAGGGTTAGTCATTTGATTGGTGTTGCAAATAATTGGTGATTTTCTAGATTGGAACTTTCCATCAATTATCAAAGTTTGTTTAAAAGAGCTAGTTGAGGCACTCAATTTTTAGTTTGTTTAAGTCTTTCTCAATTGAAAAAATTAGGCACACGTTTTGTCGCCTTTTTCGTGTCATTTGTTTGAATTAGTGGACTAGTCAAGTGTATTTATATACTGAGATTAGTTATGTATTTCTTTAATTTGAAATAATACCTTTTAAATTTTTAAATAGTTTGGTCAATTTTTTTTCGAGGTAAGAATAAGCATAACAGTTCAACCAAAGTGATTGTCCCACATAACGTGGGCATCCTATGTAATTATCGACAAAAATGTAGAAAATTATGATCACATAATCACATTATAAGAAATTGATATTTTATCGACAACAACGTGGCAACACTAAAAGGGTGTTTGTTGAAAAAAAAAAACTAGATATTTATGATGTGAACTGCGTTAGGTGATGACTAGTTCTTTAGTGTTTGGCGTCTATTTGACACGATTGCATAGCAGTCCTTGAATTTGCTAACAAAAAAAAAAAAAAAAAGGAAAAAAAATTCGAGGTATTTTGATTGAAATATTGAAAACGAAAACATGAGTCTTCAACCATATAAATGACGAAATAAAATCTATCAAGGGCATGTGTATGCGTCTTAATGCCTTGGCAAAAAGAAAGAACAAAAAGCACGCCTTGTAATTAGGAGAAATACATTGCTTTTTTCTTTTTGTCGCTAAAAAGTTGCCATTTCATTCCAGGGGAAAAACAGAGGAAAAAGTCCAAAAAGTATCCCTGGAGTTTTAGGTAAATTCAACATTTACTCTAATATTTTTGATAATTCAAAAACAACCCCTTATGCTCTGAAATTATCCCAAACATATACCCTAAGTTTTTTAAAAGAAGTAAAATATAACCCTTTAAGTAGTCAAAATGTTGAAAATGACATAAATAACCTTAATGATCAATATTTAAACATTATCTTAAAAACTAATAACTAAGAAACTAAATTTAAAGAAAAAGATAAACTTTCAATAAAATAAATTTTATGTTTTTGAAAAAAAGTCCAAAACTTAACTGATTAAATTGGTCTAACTCAGACACAAAATCTCATGTCCTCGTCATTGATACACAACTGGTAGATTTAGACTTATCAAATCAGTCTTGTCCATACACTTAACACTGCTCTATAGTCATTCAAATACGTTAGCTCTTTTGTTTTCTTGATTTTATTTACGTTTAAAACGTATGTTTTAAAAGTTTTACTTAATTATAAAATAATATGTAAATAGTACTTATTGAGGTCATTTTTGGTATTTTTAAAATTTAATCAATTAAAGGGTTATTTTTTTACTCTTTGAAAAAACGTAAGGGATAATTTTGGGATAATTAAAAACTTAAGGGATACTTTTTAAATTATAAAAACACAGGGTAATTGTTAGATTTAGCTAAAATTCATGGAGTACTTTGTCGATTTTCTCAAAGAGTAATGCTAGAGGTACCAACTCAAGTCCCAACCTTTTATACTAACTGATGCGTCACGTGAATTATCATCTTTTTATTAGTAAATATAATATCTTTCATTAATTGACGTAACAAAACCAACAGAAACCGAGCTACAAACCAGAAAGAAATGCCCAACTAAAACTAAAGTAAAGTTTAGGGCGCCATTCAACATCTATCAAAACACCAGCACTAAGAGACAGCAACGCGACACTACCAAAAATTTAAAAGCCACGGACCACTTGACAATGTTAACTTTAGGCTGCAAGGTTCCAAGGATGAAGGAAAGATCCAAAGAGACCAAGCAAGCTTTGATCTCCTGGAAATCCGACCCGAGTATAGAAAGCTTCCAAGGACAAGCCTTAGTCAAGCCGTAAAGAGCAAAGATGGCAAACGAAGAGTCTGATTCTACAATATCTTTGCCAAAATCAAGACAAAGAATGCAGCTCGCAGCATGCTTAATGGCCACAGCCGAACTTAGGAGAGCGTCTGCACTGCGCTCAACAAATGCAGAGACTGGATTCCCAGCAGAAAGAACAGCAGCTATAAGTTCCTGACCAAAAATGGCAATAACCGTGTTCCATTTAATCCATCCTGGAGGTGGGGAATGCCATTTGGGTGGCAGAGCTGCTTCGGTGGAGGGAGCACTCAGAGTGGCAGATAAATCATGAAAACGAACCCAAATGGTCTGGTGGAAAAGCTGAATGTTTAGGATTTTCCCTTCATAGAAACGACTTTTATGCACGCGCCATTCGTTGCAATAGCATGGACGTGGGCTCTTGTTTGTACCATTCGAATTTCTTTCCTATATTCTTTAGTTGTTTTGAAACTGAAAAAATAGTCCATTCTTTTCTTAAAAGAAAATAATAATTTTACACCAGAAGAAATGGTGATGCTCCTGTGCCAGTCTCAGCAATAGATACAGCTCTGATCTATTCTAAGAATACAGGTTTCTTTTTATTTGTTTCAGTTTCTACAGCATGAAAAAAGCTTTTAGGAGAAGCAAAACAAAAGGGAGCATACCTTTACAAAGATATCGAATTAATGGAACTCTGGTTCATCCCTTTTTTTTTTTGGCACTAAACTCACAAGAAAATCATTTCCCGAACAGAACACACATTTTACATACAACAATATTAAAATAAACGAGCAAGAACCACTACCTCATGGAAGTTCGAAAATTTGTCTGGACAACGAATTGTATCAATCAAGGCAGACTAGGAGAAAGCGAAGGCTTTGCCACTTGGATCTCCCCACAGTCACTGATGAAAACAGTCTTGAGCGGTCTGTTCCAACTTGCGCGAGCATTCTGAGCCCTCTCATCACCAAGAAACTTCGCCAAATCATTGAATTGCCGGATCCTCTCTGCTGGTCTGTACGTAGGTATTGCGGCTATGGATGTCACCACATCCAGACCTACTATTGAGAAAGATGAATGAGAGAAAGGGTGATTCTGAATTGTAAATCTCACATTAAATGGAAATGTACAGAATTACAGCTCAAATATTGGATACATCTTCTAACAGAAAACTACCTCACACACTAAACCGACACATGGCAAAGTATCACTTAACAAACTCTAACAAATTATTACAAGTTGCTCAAGTGGTCTCAGAATGAAGAGCTATTTCTAAACTAATGCACTAATTGTACAAGAATTAGCACTAATAACAGTTACTAATCCTTTTTCTGTAACACCGCCAAACCGAATTCAAATCCAGTTCCAAACCTCAGCCATTTTCATATCAATCACATATCAACACAGCAATGAACCAACCAGAGAATAATATGGCAGTAACGGTCACTAACTTGATCAAATTATATTATGGATTTATGATTTATCCTATGAAAAAACTAGGAAACAAAAAATTCTTTCTCAGACTTTAATCTGAGATTAAAGTTGCAGATATCAAATCATGTTCATGTCTTCTTATGTTTTGTTTATATCATACGCAAATTATTTCCTCTTAACTACTCCAATTCACGTTTATACATAATTGTATTTGGTATTTCTCCAAGATCAAATTGCAATTATTTATACCTTAAGTTCGACATCAAACTCCAAATTTCAGACATTTTCATCACCACTACACATTAAACACAGCACGTAAGAGTTATATGGCAATGCTAAGCTAATCTAACAAACTCATCTCATAAATTTATCGTACAGAGAAAGTTATCTCCCGTCAAAAGTAGGTTATGACTGAACTAAGAAACTAGTTCCTTCTCATGTTCATGTCGAATTCCATTTATGATTATATTATTACGAAAATCACGTGTTTTCTTTCCTAATTAATTCAATTAATGTTCATACATAGTATATTTGGTACTAAATCTAAGAAAATTTCGATTATTTCTAACTAAATCTAAGAAAATTTCGATTATTTCTACTTTCAGTTTCAAATCAAACTTCAAATTTCAGCCATTTTAATTACAATCATACATTAACACAGCAATGTAAGAACTATATGGCAGTGATAATCACTAATCTAACAAAATCATCTCATAAATCTTATATTAGCACGAAAGAACTGACGGTCCAATTTCTTCAAGTTCATGTTCAATCATAATTCTATTTCGTACCAAAAATAAAATCCTAAAAGGTTGGAATTTCCAACAAATTTTCACCTTCAAGAACTGAACCGAAGACAATGTTTTTCCCATCGAGCTGAGGACAAGGTCCGGGACCGGTGGTGATCAAGAATTCGACGTTCCGGTACTCCGGATCGAGCTTCATCTCGTCGTCGTCATCGTTCTCCGATAAACAGAGCGAGAGCAAGCCAGGTCTGGAGTGAGTTAGGGCAAAGGCCTTAGCGTCGACGGTCTCGGTGTTCCGCGCCAAACCGGAGGGGCGGCGGACCTCGCCAGGCTTGTCGCCCTGGCGGCCGGCGAGGAGGAACTGCCCTGGGAAGAGCTTGTGGACGAAACTGCCTTTGTAGGTGGCGGAGGTGCACATGGACTTGAAGTTGGAGACGGTGAGGGGTACGTGCTTGCCGTAGAGGCCGAGGACGACGCGGCCGAGGAGGAGGGAGTCGGAGCAAAGGGAGGAGACGTCGTCGGAGAGGGTCCGGTCGGGGCGGAAGTAGTTGGGGCAGAGGCTGAAGTCGAGGTAGACGCGTTCGGTGATCGTGGTGTCCGGCGCCGACGACGGCAACGGCGACGGCGGAGGCGGAGGAGGAGGTGAAGCCGAGGACGGCGGAGGAGAGGAGAGAAAGAGGGTGGTTGAGAGGAGGAGGGAGCGGCGGGTCAGGTGGAGGCGGGAGCTGGTGGTGGTGGAGGTTTCATGGAGGTGGCGGCGGCGGTGGTGGGAGAAGATGGGAGGGGGAAGCGGCGGAAGGGCGGTGACAGGGCAGCCCATGAGGGGACGATGATGGTGGTGGTGAGAGCATGGTTTGGGTTTTGGTTTTGGTTTTGGATGAGGAAATGGACGGACAGAATTGCTATTGGTGGTGCGGTGGCCACCACAGAGATTGGATTGGGTGGGTCCCGCTATTTTTGAACTTTTTTTTTTTTTTTTTCAAATTTTTTCAAGTTTAACCTCAAACTATTCTCTTTAGACAGAAAGAGTAAAATAAGCTAAGACTTGAGATAAATTAAAATTAATAGGTCAATAAGTTACATAAGTTAATAAATAGGCTAAATTATTGTTTTCGTCCATAACTTGTTTGTTATGAATCATAACTTGATAAGTTATTGTCCATAATTTGTCTGGCTATGAACCATAACTTAATAAGTTATTGTCCATAATTGTCCATAATTTGTCTGGTTATGAACCATAACTTGACAAATTTATTCATAACTTATCTGATTATAAACCATAACTTAACAAATTATGACTTATTAATTTTTGTAACTAAAAATTAGGCTATATACGTTCTTAAACTTTTTATTGACTTATTTTTTACTATTTCCCTTCTCTTTATCCCATCTTGGGCCCAAACTCCAAAGGCGTTACAAATTGCGTTGTAAACTATGCCTTTTCTCTCATGTTTGTGACCTTCTATCACAAATCGTTAACAACTCGATTAGAACTTAAATCAGTCAAAACGAGGCTGTTTAGTTCTCTAATTTAAAATTTTAATTTGAGTTGAGATATAATTTTATATGAGAATTTTTTACTGTAATAAAAAAATTAGATGTGATTGTTTCTGAGACTTTTTGATTATAGCAAAATTTAAATTTTAAACTCGAATCGGTAAAATGAACGAGACCTTAATTAAGATTATTTAAACAAATCCCTCATAAGTAAATTAAAAACTTCAAAAAATAAGAAGAAAAAGAAACAACTCTATTTTATCTCTACACAAGTTCGTAGGCTCACAAAGTATATAAGTGTGATTTGTCTAAAACACCGTCAATTAACTAATAATATGAAGGTTACGCGGTTGATTGCATTTGAGTTTGTAATAGTTTTAGGCTTCGTTTACTTCGTTGATTCGAGTTTTCAATTTGAGTTAAGATATTCTGAGAGATTTTCACTGTAACAGAAAAAGTTAGATGTGGCATTTTCTGATAGTTTTTTATTACAGAAACTTAAAACTAAAAACTCGAATCAGTGAAAACTCAAAGTTAGATGGAACATTGTGCATAATTCATGGTATAATTTATAATATTCTAAAGTTTAAGGAAATGTGAGATAGATAATAATTTGAAGCGTAAAAATGAGATTATATATATATATGTACCTTTCCCTAATCTTGTTTTGAAGATATGTCGACGTCCATGTTAGCCATGTGAGCTATAGCCTATACGGGAAACAAATCTAAGTAGGATTATTTCCCTATTTTTCGTGAGCATCAGGATTAGTTAAACAAGTTTTGCTCGAGGGAAACTGTTTTCTTTGAGGACAGCATGAATATCTGGAAGAAAAAGAAAAATGAAAGTAGACAGAGACTACTGGTTTGTGTTTCCTGCTGCTTCGTCATGAGCGTAAATAAATCAACATAAGCTTTTACAATTTGACAATTAAAGTATAAGGTTTAACAATTTTAAAAGGCTAATAAAGATAGAATAACAATGTACCAACTTCTTCATACATGTCACGCCCCCAAATAGAAATTAGTAACGTGAATGCTTGTTTAGAAATTAAACTTGATTAAGAGGGTGATTAAATTGTTAATATTTTAAAATTTAGTTTAAAATCTAAAACACTCGGTATTTTCAAACAAGCCCCGCTATTTTAACGAAATTGAGTTTTAAGAAAAAGTGAGGCGGACTTTACAAAACACAATTACTGTTAAGATCAACATCAAAAGTCAGCTTCCGGCGTCCACAAGGTTACAATTTGTGCATACATAATTAAATACAGAAAAGTAAATAACTGACCCCAACCACAGTCAAGTTATGTGTAAGGTTTTATAATCCATAGTTAATACATACCTTAATGAGTCTGATCAAAATGGAAAATGCTTCCCCGCTTCTTTTATTCTATAACTGAATTCCTTACCTATTCTGCACTACTTCCAGCGTCGTCTGGGTGGGGTTAAATACATTTGAAACATAGAAAAATGAGCGAAAGACTCAGTAGGATAAGATTTATAAAACTGAATAAATAAGTAAGCAAATAAAATGAAATAATCAGGCCCGAAAGAATAAATCAGAACCAAACAACCTTTTTTTAAAAGGTAAATAAACTTAAATTCCAGATTACAGGCAACCAGCAAATAATTTAAGTAATTAAATTACTTACGACCAAAGCAATGCCTTAACACCACCGTAGTGGCCCGTTTGGGTTTTGGGTTCTGCCCCCAAGGATACGATTTCCATATCCTATCTAGGCTATCATCGCGCTTACCAGATCGCAAGGTATCTTATCTTAAAAAAATGTTCATTAAAAACTTGAAATCAATCCATTATGAGATCAATAGCGAAAATCAAGCTATTGTCTTGAAAGTACTTTTCTTTGTCAACGTATCCTTATCTTTTGAAAACATTGCTTGGCCAAAACACTTTAAAACAGGCTAATAAGGATATGAGAAGAATATCCTACCTCTCGGATATCAAACCTGGGCTAGCTTCTTGTTACCCTAGCCTCCGCTTTCCTTTGAAGCTTCCACTTCTGATTTTTCACTAGCTTTGTCACAAAAGCAACGTTTTAGGACACAATCTTCATTCCTAAAACAAATCAAGTTCAATTATGTCTAATTGTTTCCTATTAGTGTGCTTGGCGTCAAATCTAAGTTTCACAAACGATTTTATAATTCAGTTTAGGGGTTCTTTAAAAATTGAAATCTAATTCATGGGTTTGGTTTCCTATTTAATTTTAGCTTAAAAACAAGTTTTTAAAGAAATATATTGAAATTAAGTGTATTTCTAAAAACTTTTGGGGTGAAATTATAAATACTGAAAATAATTTAAAGTTCCTTGATTAATTAGAAAAAAAATCAAATTAGGCACACTAATAACTCACAATTAGTATAATTAAACATACTTAATTCTTGAGTGCGTTACAGCTCTACTCCCCTTAAGAAATTACATCCTCGAAATTGGAACTTACCTTAGGATATGAATAGATGTGGATACCGTTCCTGCATTATTGCCTCCAGTTCCCACATTGCTTCCTCAACGCCATGGTGTTGCCACAACACCTTCACTAGCGAAATCTCGCGATGGCATAAACTCTTCATCTTCCGATCGAGAATCTGAACTGGTGCTTCCTCGTAAGTCGTGTCGTAGTGAATTGGTACGTCATGCCATTACACAATGGTTTCCAAGTCGGGTTGACACTTACGAACCTTGGAAACGTGAAATACATCGTGCAAAGGAGACAACTCCAAAGGCAAAGCGAGACGATAAGCGACAACACCGACTCGTTGCACGATCTGAATTGATCCGATATACCTTAGTGCGAGTTTCTCTTTCACATCGAAACGAGTGACCCCTTTGCGCGGAGAAGCCCTTAACAAGACAAAGTCGCCTTGTTGGAACTCTAAGGGTTTACATCTCCTGTCAGCGTAACTTTTCTAACGACTCTGAGCTGTTAGCAACCATTCCCGAATAGCGATTATCTTCTCGTTGTTTTATTGGATATCATATGGTCCAAGAGTTTGTCGATCTTCTAGCTCGAGTCAACAAACTAGCGATCTGCAAGATCTGCCATACAATTCCTCGAATGGTGCCATTCCAATGTTAGTTTGATAACTATTGTTGTAGGCGAATTTGGCTAGATGGAGGTATTTCTTCTAGTTTCCACCGAATTCTAGAATGCAAGCATGAAGCATATCCTCCAGAATCTGAATAACTCTTTCAGACTGTCTATCGGTCTGAGGATGAAATGTGGTGCTGAAATTCAATTTGGTTCCCATGGCTTCTTGGAAACTTCTCCAGTACTTCGTATTGAAACGAGTGTCGCGATCCGACGTGATGGACAATGGAACTCTGTGAAGTCTGACAATGTGCTCCAGATACAACTCTGCTAGAACTTTTCTGGAATACGTCGCACGAAACAGAATGAAGTACGTGGACTTCGTCAACCTATCCACAATGACCCATATTGCATCATGCCGCTGTTCAGTCCTCGACAATCCCATCAAAAAATCCATCGTACCAAGAACAGGAAGAAGCTGTAGTTCTCCAGCAAGTTTCTGATGTTCAGCTTTAACTCGAAGACAAGTCACACATTCTGACACATATTGGCAAACATCCTTCTTCATACCCCTCCACCAATACTACCTTTTGAGGTCCTGATACATCTTGATACTCCCAAGATGAATAGTAAACCTCAGTTTGTGAGCCTCGTGAAGGACTGTCTTCTTTATCTCATCCACCTGAGGAACAACAAGACGGTTTTTAAAGTAGAGCATTTCATCTTCTTGGATATTCCAGCCATCCAGTTTTTCTCCATTCTGAACTCGAGTCCAAACTCCTTGAAGATGTAGATCCTGCCATTGGTTCTGCTTGACTTGTTGTATAAGAGTCGGCGCAGAAACCAAATTGTACACCATAGCTTGGTTATAATTCTCATAATACTGAAGATCATAATCACCTACAGTTTCACTCCGTTTCCAATCCTCCAAAGCCAAAGATGCTAGGATTCCTGAAGTTTTTCTGCTGAGAGCATCTGCTACCATGTTGGCGTTTTCAGGATGATACTGTAAAGTGAAGTCATAATCCTCCATATACTCCATCCATCTCCTCTGTCTCAGATTTAAGTCATTCTGAGTGAACAAATACTTTAGACTCTTATGATCAGAGAAGATCTAAAATTTTACTCCATAGAGATAACATCTTCATATTTTGAGAGCAAAAATCACAACAGCAAACTCCAAATCGTGAGTTGGATAATTCTATTCGTGAGGTTTCAGTTGGTGAAATGCATAAGCTACAAGACGTCCTCCTTACATCAGAACACACCCAAGTCCTCGTCTTGACGCGTCGGAATATAGCTCGTACGGTTCCTCGGCATTTGGTATAGTTAGAACTGGTGCGCTCATCAATCTGGT